ATATCCACCCAGACCTTTATATTTGAAAATAATTGTGATTATGCAAGGATAAGTGATTCCATACGAAAACAGTAAAATATAATAGTTATACAACATGAAATGTCCTAAACTCACCTGTATAAGTCACTATAAGCTTGTTTGAACTTAGTCTTAAAAGATTACTTCCATCATCAATATCCCATGCAGTTGGTGATTCCATATTGTTGTGTAACACTATTAGCAAGAGTGTTTGATTATTGAAGGATGATGATAGCTTGATTTGTATGCCTTTTACCTTCTTATGTGGAAGCTTAAATACGTTGCGAGTTTAATTTTATTTTAATTTTTTTTTTTAAAGAAAAAAAACTAGATATTAGATGTGCATAATTTGTGACCAAATGAAAAAAAAATACAATTCGATTTGTAAAAAAAAAATATATATGTGTATCGATCATATGTCGATCATATGATTATTCGGAAATTAGAATGTCCGGCTACTTCTTTAATCTAAATTACACTTGAGAGAATTTAATATACTAAAATTAACCTCTTTACAATATTATTCTTTAAATGTATCGTATTTGAGTGGTTTATAATGATTTATAATCCTCGAAATATTTTATGATGTATTTGATATCACTTCTCGTTAGATTTGAAAAACTGGATGCAGTAAAAGACTTGATACGACGAATCTTATCACATTAAAGATGTCGTAAATTTTTTTTGTCGTATATGTTCTTTTGCGCACCATACTCCTTTCACATTTCCCAGAAGTATTTCCTTAACTTCTTCATTCAGCTTTGTGCAAAAGTATAGCAAGTCATTCTGATAGAGCTTTCCCAAAATGAAAATAAAAACGAATTAACTCCCTATTACTTTTATCCCATCCTTTTTCGCAATATCAATGTCATAGTATAAATTTATGAAATTGATTCAAAACTTAGAACCTTCAGAAGGTTCACTTATTGATGGTCAGCTAGCTGGGAAGACAGACAGCTCACTAATGATGATTTGCGCTATTGTGCCTCTAGAAGATTTACGTGCATCCTCTTGCTTCTTTCTTTTCTGGGTATTTCATGAAAGTTAGGTGAATTGTAATACCCTTCTTTTCCAGATCATAAGTTGTCGGGCATTTAGGACACAACTTACGTTTATCATCAATCAATACAATCGAAATGCTGACACGGTCACATCATTGATAAAGGTTTCGTAGAGATTATTTCAAAGCACTTGGCGCACGTAACTCATCATCATCTTCAAAATCTTGTGGATCACTGTTATCTGCAACGCAATATAGTGTCCCTCACTTATCAATTTCTTTCGCACAAGTCCGATGTGAAATATCACCACAAACGTTTAGAACGGGCGATCTAGGTGGGTCTTCTGTTAAAATAGGAATATCACCTTTTCTGAAAAATCCGGTTCTTCACGAAGAATGTCCT